AACACCGGCGAAGGCAACCGGATTAAGGCCGCAGTGATGTTTGACGACCGGTTCAACGGCCAGACCAGCGACTCGTTTGGCGCCGAGTACTCCATGACATTCGCCGCACCGGTTAATGGCACGGCTGTTGAAGGGGCCGGCAGTAGTCGGCTGTATATCACGGCACTCGTGAAGGTATGCCAACAACTAGTGGGTTGAGCTGATCCAGGATTACATTAATATTTGCTTATCTAATGGCCAATAGAGTGACGGCACGGCCGCCGCTACCGTCAAATGGGTCCGCTTTGACAGCAGTGGTTACCAACTCTCGCACAACAGCGACACTCAGTACAAGACGTCGTCAATTGTCTTCGGCGACGACTTTCAGCCGACACTAACGGTCAATATGTATCTACAAGTGCTGAAAGATGGGGCGGCCAGCGATTCCGGGGGCGCCACCGCCGCCGCACTGTACGACACGTATGAGTCGGTGTGTTTCGGCCAACAGTCGGAGCCGGCGGACCATCAGTACGCCAAGACTTACCGGTGCTATCGATTTACGGACAGCGCAGGCGATGGTTCACAACTCGTCGCCGAAGACTATACCCAGAAAGCCATCGAAGGTCTGGAGCGTGAGATGAATGGCCAGAACATAGCGTACGACTCGAGTGCCGGCGACTCTGTCCTCAGGACACTCAACAGCGATCACAAGACAATCGGTGTCTTTCGGTTCAAGCGATTCAATTGGCATTCAGATAATGAGACCATTTATATGTTTTTCTATCTCAAAGATCGGATCATCTCTTACTGTCCGACGCGAAGGAATCTGTTTATCAAAGAAGTGAGTGCTTTATAATTGATCCCTAAAGTGATGACCATATTTACCACGTTTTGTGTGTTTCTCAGTGTCCGTATAGAGACTTCAAAGTACTCGTCAATTGCAGCGATTATACACCAATAGTGACCACAACTGCAGCCACAACCACCACAACCATCGCCGACACTCAGCCCATAACTCGTGCCAACACTACCACAACAACCGACACCAATACAGATACCAATACAACCGCTGCCGGAGGGGGAGCGCCGGTAGTAGGGGCTGAACAGTCGCCACAACCGTCACAACCATCAGGACCGGTGAAGACAACGCCAAAGTCTGCGGCGGCGGTGATTACCGGTGGTATTCACGTGGGAGACGGCGATACGAGCACAACACCGGTGCCATCGGCTGATGATATGAAGGGCGCAGACGTGACAATTGGTATTGTAGTGATCGGTCTGTTGGCGGTGTTGGCTATATCTGTGGTATTGTCGGTGGTGTTCGGCGCCAAATACTGTGCACATCACGAACAGTCTGTGTCCGGCCGGTCGGCCACTACTGGCGGTAAAGTTGCTAAAAGCGATGACGTTATCATCAAACCCAGTGCTCCGACAGCGGCTACTGATGGCAAACCCAGTGGTGATAATATCGGTGACGCGGATGAGCACAAGAGTGGGCAACTCAGCGATGAACAGATCCCCAGCCGATCGCCGGCCACTACTAGTCGCCAAGCGATGGCTCCCATTGTAAAAGTCGAGTGATATATAATTGTTTGTAAAATAGGTGTCAATTATTTTTAATTATATATTTATATTTTTCTATCGCTTTCAATGTTGTGGTTATAACTGTAGTTAACATGTGTTTTACAAATGTATTTATAATTTAAAAATTTCGCTTATTTTTATATTTATTTCTCATACAAATAGTTGGTATTTAATTAATTGTAATAATTATTATAATAAACATTTATTGATAAATAATTAAGAAAATTATTTCGTGATTTTTAAATATCATTTTTAATCATTTAAAC